TGCTCCCATTAAATTTTGCATAGGCTTCAAAGCCATGAAAGCCAAGATACTGAAGCCTCTCTTTTGGTCGCCTCCTTTGGTAGTGTGAGTGTAGTTTACCCCATTTTCACATCTTGTTCGTGCTGCCAGGGCAACCTACGTGAGTCTGAGTGCACCAGCTAACGTTATTTGAAAAGTGTGATGCAAATCTTTACTCATTTGATAGTTATTTGTAAAGAATACAATATTTATAAATGATTAGCTTTGGTATAGAATTGGAATTTATCTGAATATCGTGTTCATACGCGATTTGATAACGTTTTTTGGCAAATGCCTGCAAAGGCACACAATTACTGGAAATGACAACATGTGTCCAGCCAATAAACACAGTTGGAAATGTGTGCTATGCCCGTGTGAAGTGGGGAGAGTGTTGACTTGCATGGCTTTCGTTCTGCCCGCCCCATTCAACAACTTTGGGGACAATTGAAAAGGGATATGTTCACAATCCCGGATTCTCTGGGAATCTCTACAAGAGTGCTGGCATATTTTGCTTTCTCAAAGTTGAGTTGGCATTTTGACTGTCGGTAAATGCAAATAAAAAAATAATAATGAAAGTTTATGCAATTATCAACCGAGTAAAATTTGCAAGAGTTTCATATCAGACTTTGGAGGCCTATTGTATGAATGCTCCATTACAATGGAAGACACTACTTATATTCGCTGTAAGTAGATTTCGAAAATATGCTCATTTTATAATCACATAAAGTCTTGTGATTGCGGTCAAAATGGCGGCCTCTTTAGGCATGGCGTGACGTATGGCGTTGAGTAAGTGGCAAAAGTGGAGAAGATTGTCGACCTACCGGCGCAGTCTGGCCCGTACGAGGAGGTACCGGGAAGAAGGGCTCGAGAGCCGGTGAGAACATTCAAGAGGGACCTGGTTAGCGGATGCTGTTGCCCCGAGCCCGGACAGACCATGTCGAGGATGGCGTCTTGACCGGTGGTGCCGCTGGCCGGAAACGACATGAAGCCGGGGGGCGCAGACACGCCGGTTTGACCAATCATCGAGAGGGGGCTGAGACTGGGCGCTGGCGCGAGGCTGGACGAAGAGGAGGGACTCGAGGCGGTGGAGTAGATGAGGCCTCCGGACGGAGGCGCACCGGCCTCGGGGCCGATGGCGCCGGAGGTGAGGGCCAACGAGGAGAGTGCGAGTCCGGCGAGTGTGTTTGGCGGAGTGAAGGGAGCCGCCGGGTGGACGGGGTGGAAGGGGGGCGCGGTGAGGCTGGCGCATGACGACGTCGAGGAGGCCGGTATCATTCCGAACGACGAGCCGGACATGAAGGGGCCCGGCAACATGGCGGCATAGCCTGACATTCCGGGTTGATCGCACATGGCGCCCGGAGCGCAGGAGCTCGTTTGGTACCTGGAAACGACATTAAGGATGCGTTTTAATCGAAGATACCAAGACCAAGATGGTGTGACCTTTTGTGTGGTTTCAAGAAGTTGTTTGGCCTTGTTTTCGCAAATTGGTCATGTTGGTAAGAGAACTTAGCAGAACGCACCTTGTCCGAAGTCGTCTGCCATAATAGTTGTCAGACGACTTCAGGCTAGGTACTTCTACTAAGTCGCCATGACGACAAGACCAAGTTGCGATGGCAACCGAGGATAAGCTTACTTGTCTCTTTGACGAGTGGTTGTGTGGTGTTGTGAATGGCGAATGTGATAGAGTAAGAAATGGATACGGGGATTAGGATGGAACGAGGAGTAATGGCAAAACTGTCTCGAGGGAAAATTGATAAAGGGATCGACTTTACTTGTCTCTTTGACGAGTTGTTGTGCGGTGCTAAGAATAGTGAGACTCACTGACGATGCCGGCGAAGCGTCTGAGAATGTACGGTCCTAATCTGGAAATGATATTGCATGTAATGGACTCCGGACAACATGACAAAGTTGCGAAAATAAGGTCAAACAACCTCTAAGGATGAGTTTTGTTTATAAGTAGGTCATTTTTATATGAAGTCTATTCACCGAAGAACGCACCTTGTCCGAAGTCGTCTGCCATAATAGTTGTCAGACAACTTCGGACTAGGTGCTTCTACTAAGTCGCTATGACAACAAGACAAAATTGTGACAACGACGTCAACATACTTGTATAAATCTAAAGAAGACTGCGACCATACCAGAGGCCAAACGATCTTGATCTTCATATATTCACCTTATTTCGGTTAAGCTGATAAAGGAACTGATGGGTGAATTTTCATACTTGTTGAGCTTACTTCCATTTCGAGTGAAAGTGTTGAGTGAAGAGATTCGAAGGTCGGTTCCACCAGAAGATGACGGCGGATTCCGCTTGACCAGCTGTCGAATGGCTTTACTGGAACATTTATACTGACGCTGTTTCCGAGGCAACCTCCTTCGTCCGTCATGTGACGGACATCATCAGAGCGAGGTATCATCGACACAACAAAATTAAAGCTAACGAGTCAAGAAAACCCACCGGCAAATCCCTAAAAAGTGGTACACATACTCTACATCTTTCCTCTTTGATCAAGTATAAAGTGGTTTGATTAGTTAAGGTCATATGTCAAATTCGATGCACGTGAGTGTGTATGTCTCTGTATGTGTGTGTGACTTTTTATGTTCGTTTATGCATGAAACCCGCTCAAAGTGATTAGGACAGTAAAAAGTATCGTCTATTTTCGGCCATCAAGTTTGGATGACCCCAATCTCTTCCTTTCTAAAAACATGTTATAACCATCACTCCGATTTCGCAAGGTCGGACAGTCGTCCGGTTTTGTTGATGAGCATATTTTTGTTTTGGGTGTCAATGCAAGAGAGAAAGGGTGAGCTAAAAGAACAGAGAAGTGACTATGATTAGAAGCACTCTTTGGGGATTTGCCGGTGAGTTTTCTTGACTCGTTAACTTTAATTTGGTTTTGACGATGTTACCTCGTTCTGATGCTGTTCGTCAAATGACGGAAAGAAGCAGATTGCCTCGGGAACAGCGTCACCGTCACCCAAATGTGAGAAAATTCAACTAAAAGTGATACATCGCCGCATACCACCTCGGATATGGTGAAACCCTCATTCACAATCGACTGCTGCTTGTGAGACCTACTTAGTTCGAGTATCAGCCTGAGCCGCTAAAGGTGCTGTGCACGCATAATGTGGGTTTATGTTGCACTGAACCAGGAGGACTTCATAATGTCCTTGAATTTCGGTTAACCTCGCCTGACGACTGGTCGTCGCAATCATCTCATCTCGTCTAATTAGCACCCATCAACGGGACTCGAACCTGGCCAGATGAAACCGTGCAAGCAAGTTAGACCTCATCCAAGTCAATTTTTGTGGTGGGATTTTTTTTGTATTTGCCTAAAAGTTGGCTTTTGAGCAATCTCTTGGCTCATAATTGTTGGGCTACAAACTTTGACTTCAAGTGAAGAGATTCGAAGGTCAATTCCCGCGGAAGACTGCGGCGGATTTCAAATTGGTTCAGCTGTCAGTTGGCTTTACTGAAACATTCTTGTTGAGGCTGCTTCTGAGGCAAACTCATTCGATTACGATGAAAACATGCTCATCTGTAGGCCCTATTTATCCGAAAAACATTAACAAAGCAGGCTATCATTCGTACAACCATATCGACTCATCCATAAATGCTGTATATATATATATATATATATATATA